GGTTGCATTTATTATTAATCATAGAGGGTAAATCTTTGACATTATCTAACAGTAATTGTCCAAGTACAGAACCTTGTGGACTCTGTTTCAATAGCAACTTTGATGTAGTTATTAAACAACTGAGTTCTATTTTTATGCTTTGCATAGTTTTTGAGAGGCGCTATATCATTTAATATAGTAATTATTTTAGAGTGTCATTCATTTTTGTGAATTTTGGGATTAAGTTTTTTTTCAATATATGGTAAAACCTATCCCAGTGGGCACGGGACGTTAAAAAGACGTCCTTTGGACGTTCAATTAGCGTCCGTCCGTCCCTTTTAAATTAGCGTCCGTCCGTCCCATTAAACGTCTTTTTCGCATCCAATAAAATTTTCGTCCAAAAAAGATCCAGAATGCTTTATTAAATCAAAATTAATTTAGTAAAATCACGCAATCTTCATAGTCTGGTCGCTACATGTAAAAAAAAAAGGAAAACTAAACATTTTGAGTGGACATTCTAATTTTTATATAGACTTGTTCCTTATAACTTAAGAAGTTTAAAAATTTTTACGTGCCACCTGGAAAGTACTTATAACTTAAGTTAGAGACAAAAATTGATGCAGCTTATTGAAAAGATTTTAAGTATAATATAAGTATATCCGCGATGGTGTTTATAAATCCAATACCGCAAAGCATTGATTTAGTTTAAAAAAATTATTGAGGGGGTTAATTGTTTATAAAAATTAGATGTTTTAAATATAATTACTCAAATCTATGTAACCAAAATTTCATTAACCTTATTTAGTAAAAAAAATTGTTTATAATTTTTTTTCTAATTAATTTGCTTTTTTTTATGTTATCAAAGATCTTTTTAAAAGTAAAGAATTACCGTCGTAAATAAAAGGAAAAGTCATTTTTATAAATAAAACAAAATATTTGCAAAACAAACTGTAATCATTTTAAAAGAAACGGTTGTTGCAAAAATATAAAACATAAAACTAAAAAAAAGTGTTTTATTTTTATTTATTATTATTAAACTAAATAATAGCGAGTAGTCAAAAAATGCAGCATTTTAATCTGATTCCTAAAAAAGAAATTATAAATGCTTGTATACTCAAGGTGAAATTGGTCGTAATAATAACAAACTGTGTGGTATTACTGAAAATGCGCTTGCGAAAGTGAAGACTTGTGCATTGTGACTTACAAACCAAGCGTTGAGACTTACAATGCTTGGTAAGTGACAAACTAAATGTACAACTCAATTTATTTTTTTATATATGCCTTGGTAACAATGGTACAGAAACCAATAAATTGCGATGATTGGAGCTTGGGAACAAAAAAGCCCCAAAACTTGTGCTCCCCCTGCCCCAAACGTGAGAGCAATTTGTACTATTTTTAGACTTATATTTATCGATAAATTTTAAATTTCATAGTAAAATATATCAGCCTTCAAAAATTTTAACAATATAAAATTTGTGACTTCCTCAAATTGGGGGGGGGGGGGGGTTAAGCTTTATATGGGCAAAATTTTTGAACGCTGAAATATTTTACTATGAAATTAAAAATTTATTGACGATTATAAGTCTAGTTAAAAATAGTAGAACTAATGGACCTAAAAAAGACGTCTTTTGAACGTTCAAAAGACGTCAAAAACGTTCAAAAGACGTTCAAAAGAGGTCCAAAACGAGTATAAGACGTTTAAAAACGTCTTTTTTACGTCCGTGTCTACTGGGCAAAATTCATTACAGAAAGTGCAGCTCAAACTTTACTTAAGCGTTTTTTTTAACATGTTAAAAGAAAACGCTTAAGTAAAGCTGAAAACCCAGCTAGTATATTGGGCAAACCATAGTTTGCTTAGAGTCATATTATCATTGGGCTTGTTACCTTAACTATACAAGACCCTAAAAAGTTCCTTTTATTTTAACAGAAGATGCAGTTATGCGTTTTCTCTTCGACTATGTGAAAGAACACGTATCAGACAATTTAGAGATTACTCATACAAGTAAGCTATTTGAATTTTAGGAGGAAAACTGCACAGACAGAGCAAAGATTCTAGATAAAAAGACTTTTCAGGATGCTGTAGTTGTAGAACTTGCGGGTCTGTTCAGTTGCGGTCACCAAAATAGGGTATTCTTTCTTATGCAACAATACCATTGAGAAGGGGAAAATTGTTGAAGTTTTTTAAAAAAAGATTGAGAATTTCGAAAAAAAGAATAATACAAAACCGATTGAACAGCTTATCCATCATGTCGCACAAGAGATTCACAGCGAGGTTTTGTCTTTAAAAAAACATACTTTAAACTGCCTATATATAATGCATCTATTGGTTTCGAAACCGTTTGCATTAACACGGTAAACACAGATATTGCTATTTACGCTTTGTACTTTCAAAACCAACTTCAAATAGAATTATTTGGGAATATTGGCGTTTCTACTGAAAGACGGACTCTTGATATAAATCTTATTCCTCACAGTTAGGTACTGATTGTTGTAAAGCTCTTCTTGCTCCTCATGCATTTAGCGGAAACAATTATACAAGTGCATTTTACGGGATTGGTAAGTCAAAGTTCCTCAAACTAATGAGACAGTCTGAAGAGTACAAGTCAATTTTTCCAAGGTTGAAGACTCTTATACCTTTGATGTAACCCATTTTGACCAAATCGAAAAGTTTATATGTCAATTATAAAAATTATAATGCAGTAATACGAACGAAGGAAGATACCTTAAGTTTATTGCCAAGAAAAAAGCTACGGAACCTTAAAAGTTTCTGCCAACTAGGGATGCTTTTATGTGTCATTGCAAGAGAGTTTCGTATCAAACAGCAATTGTCAAACAATCATTGGAGGCAAATCTCAATATTCCAAAACCCAATGGATATGGATAGCGAGAAATCGGCAATCAACTTGAGGTTAAATTGATGCTCATTAGACCTGCTTAAGAAGATGTTTTGCAGTTAATTCCTGTTCGTCAAAATGTGAAACCCGGGTTGATTGCATGAATTGACTTGTACGGAACTGTTCGTCTTGTGAAAACACAAATGATTGGGACGACACCTAAACAAAATATTATTCAACTGATTCGAATTCAAGAGTTTATCTAACTTTTGACGTAAATATGTTTTATTTAGTTAGATTTTTTGAAAAAATGTCAAAATGACGTCATCAGTACCAAATAAGGGCCCAAATGTGGCCCTTTAAGCACTTTCAGAAAGGCACGTAAAGTTTTTCTCATTCAAGATATCAATGTTAAACTATTTAAGTAGTTTTTGTAATGTCCACTTCATTTCCAAGAAAAAGTTACACGTAGCGTCCAGACTATCAAGACATATTTATTTTTGTTAATTAAAAACGCATTTTTAATTCAAATGTAGAAGAAACTTTCAAGTGTAAAAGAACTTTCAAATGTAAAAGGAGTTTTTTATGGCATCTCGAAATAATGAATGAAGAGTGACTAATATACAGGTTCTTGCTAATTTATATATCGTCAGGGATAGGGCAAAACCGTGTAACTAGCATTTTATAATACCGCGTATCTACAGTACATTTTTTTTACTGGAGAAGTTTAAAACTTTATTTATTTTTTATTTTAACTGATTTTGGGTTCATTTTAGTAAAAAGAGTATTATTCATGTTTTTTGCAATCTCAACAATAAATATTTGGTGTTAAAATTAATAATATCCAAATATAGTAGCCAATGCTAGTTACGCGGATTTGCACTATCCCCGACGATATATATATATATATATATATATATATATATATATATATATATATATATATATATATATATATATATATATACAGCGCTAGAAATAACGGCCGATCAACGATCAATGATCGTCGACTTTTGGAAAAAATGAAATTTTGAACTCCCAAAATTAATTATGGCCGATCAAATTTGATCGTCTACATTGCATGTCACACATTAGAATAAAAAATTTTTTAACATTTAAAAAAGAATCTTAAATTTATTAAATTAGCATTAAAAAAAATATGTTCATTATTGCTGAATTAAACAAGTTTTTAGACCAATAATAATCTTTTAGTTCACATTAAAAATGGTAATTAAAAAGAAGCGCGAAGTTTATTGTAAATAACTTATAATGCTTTTGATTGGTGGAATAAACATAGCGTTGATTTCGTAACAGTCTTCAGTTCGAAAGTATATTAACTGTAAAAGAATTATTTTAATAAAGCAAATTCATTTGAATAAAATGAATTAATAACTAGAAAGTTTAACATTTCTTTGATTGTCTGAAAAATAATGAACAAAGCAAGTTTGTGATTCGTTGGAAAACTTCATTTTGAAATCATCGTGACAATTTAAATTGAAAGAAACAGTTTTTGTTTTAAAGTTTTAGAAATTAAATGGTAAGTTTAAAAATAATATTAAAATGGAAGCATACAAAAAGCGTCAAACATTTATTTCTTTTAAAAGAAACTTAGTATCTGGAACACCCGCTGAGAAAAAACTAAAAACTTATGACAGAAAGCTACAATTACAAACAGCTAATAAATGGAAAGTCTCTACGCTTGCAAAATATAATGCTAATAATTGGCTTGAAATTGAAAGCGTTGACGGAATAGTTACAGCGCTAAAATGCAAAGTATGCCGAGAATATGCATCGCAAATTCAGATTTTAAAAGGCTACACTCCGGAATGGAGCTGTGGAAAAGGATGTAGTCGATTGCAACATAGTTCTGCAATCACGCATGCAGAGGGAATGTCTCATCAGAAGGCTTTTGAGATTTTTATGAAAACGAGAGGCATGAATTTGTGCAATCGAATTGAAAAACTAAACGAGTTGCAGCAGGAAATGCGGCAAACAGATATTTTATCCGGTATTCAAACCATGAATAGTAAAGACTTGGATTTGACAAAAAAAAAAAAAATTGAGATCGCTTACTTTATAGCAAAAGAAGAACTATCGCTTTGCCTATACCCAAAAATAATTTAATTAGAAGAGAAACATGGTGTAGTTTTTGGTCAGGCTTATAAAAACGAAAACACATGCGGAGTATTTATTGACTGCATTGCTCTTAGTTTAGCGATAGATCTCAAAAATAAACTAAATACTCGAAATTTTTTCACTATTTTAATTGACGGTTCTAACGACGTTTCAATTAAGGAAAAAGAAGCTATATTTGCCGTTACTTTTAATCCGGCTCCAACTGGAAAATCTGAAGTAAACGTTGAATGTGATTTTCTTTCACTTTTGGATGTTGAGTATGGAACTTCGCACGGAGTTTTCAACACCATAAAAAAGTCACTCGAGAATATAGAAGTCGTAAATTGCAATAAAAAACTAGTTGGATTTGGTGCGGATGGCGCATCCGTTAACAGAGGGAGCAAGTCGGGCGTTAAAATGTTGCTCAAGGCTGAAGTCCCCTGGATCACGTTTGGCTGGTGTGTAGCACATCCTCTCGAGTTATCATTAAAAGAAAAATTAGGAAAAACAGTTCAATGACGTTGATTACATGATTTTAAAAATGCATTACATTTACAAAAAATCCCCCAAAAAGTTAAGACAGTTGGGTGACTCGTTTCTATTTTAGAAGATGATGAATATAACATTGGTGGTTACCGACCTAAGAAAGCCTCCGGTATTTTCTTTTTTTTTGCTTGATTTATTTATCTTATATTTATTACCATTACAGTTATGCGTGACGCCTATATTTTTAGTTTTTGCAAGTATAAAGTAAATTATAAATTGTATAATCTTGTTTCATTTTTAGGTACACGATGGATTTCACATAAAGTTCAGGCTTTAGAAATGATTTTAGATAAATACGGTGTTTATTTAACACATCTGGAAAATATGACTGAAGATATAACATTTACCAATGCTGAAAGAGCTAAGTTTAAAGGATACCACAAAAAGTGGATTCATGCTAGAATGCCCCTTTATATCGCGTTGTTTATTGAGATTTTAGCACCAGCAAAGATGTTGTCAAAATGTTTTCAAAGTGATGAGATAGATGTGTTGGCTTCATCAGGGTTTGTTCAACAAGCTAAAAGCCATTTAAATCGTATTCAAAAAACAAAGTTTATTAATTTGCCAACAGTAAAACGTTTTCTCGCCAAAGTGACTGAAAAAGAAGGAAAGTTTTATTTCCAGGGTGTTGCACTTAACGACTTTGTAAATGCTAAACATTTAGTAAAAAAGTCTAAATCTATTCATATCGAGTTGGTAACTAATTCAATCATAGAGCGTTTGGAAACAAGCGATACTATTACTGATATGTATGGTACAAAAGTTTTAAATACAGAAGGTTGGCTTCAAAGTATTGAAAATAAAACATTCCTGGATGAAGGAATAGAAAATCTTTTTGACTTTTATAGAGCGCCGTTGCGACATGCTCGTTTTGCAGGAACTGTAAATGATGTTTTGGATGCTTGGCATAGCTTGGTAAACTACACTGTAAAATATTTAGCACCACATAATACCGGTTATCGTAAGTTATGGCATCAAATTTTTTGTAGCTCAATGAAAAATGAATGGGTTCCGGTTTTACTTATTGTCGAACTATTATTTACTTTGCCTGTTTCTAATGCGAAAGTTGAACGCCTTTTTTCACTAATGAATAGAGTAAAAACGGATACAAGAAACTCTCTGAACGAGAAACGTTTAGAAAATTTAATTCGAGTAAGTTTCGATGAAAAAGATTCCAATTTATTTGATTTAAGTTCTGCTATCGAGTTATGGACCAATGATGCCGTGCGAAGGCCAAAACAATCAGTAAGAAAATGCTATTCCAAAAGAGCAAAAAAAGCAGGATTAAAAACATTAATCGACTTGGATTCATCATCTAACGAATCAAGTAATGAATAGCGCAGAACGAGATTATTTTTTCTCACCTTTTTTTAGTTTAAAAAAGTTTTAATAATCAAATATTGGTTAAAAAGTTCATTACCTTTTTATTGTGTCATTTTTGTTAAAAAACGATCATTATATAAAAAACAATTGTTCGAGTCACAAAAAATATTTTTACGTCACTTTAAAGGCAACGCGTTGAAGTGAAAAAGTGAATTAAGAGCTAAGTTTAAAAGTAAAAACTATAAACGATAACGCGGACGTACGCTGTTGTATTCTAAAACCAATAGCGTTCAGCTAGTGTTCTAAAAATAGATTTTTTTAGTACTAAAAGGCATTAAGGTAAAGATATTTTAGAAAATTGCACAAAATCAATAGAATTTTCTAAAAAAGGCAATTTATTGTAGGTTGATAGCGGTAAAACAAACAATTTGACGTCACCTAAACTGTACGCTATTAAAGAAAAAGTTAAGAAAAATTTGATCGTCTGGATAATTTTTTGATCGTCTAGTTTATTACTTTTATTATTTCTGCCGATCATATATATGTATATATATATATATATATATATATATATATATATATATATATATATATATATATATGTATATATATATATTATATATATATATATATATATATATATATATATATATATATATATATATATATATATTTTCTGCCGATATATATATATATATATACATATATATATATATATATATATATATATATATATATATATATAATTACTTAAGAATCGTGTTAATATTGATACAGAAATTGATATAAGAAGTAGTTTAAATGAATTTATGATATGCTATATATATTAAGTATATACCGGGTTCTTAATATAGTATATCAAGTATAATACTTGATATACTATATCAAGAACCATGTTCTGATTATTTGAAAGTTTTAGACATCGCAGAATCTCATGCAGAATCATTTTTTTCAAAAGGAAAACCTATTAATGATACAGAGAGTTTATCCTGATAATTTACGAGAATTCGATATCTTTAATTGACAACTTTTAGATAGTGCTATTCAAAATAATCGGACCAGTATATTAGTTAATGAATTTCTTAAAATATTAAAAATCCAAGGTTTGAAACTTCGTGAAGATGCAAGAAAAATTTTTTAAAACACCTAGAGGTATAACTAAGTTATACCTAGAGGTGTTTCCAAAACTTTCTCTGCATCTTCAAGATAAACAGTTATAAACAGCTAGGTAATAATTACTCTTATTTTGAAATACAGGCAAGTATTAAGAACATATTTTTTTTTGAATTTGATAATTAATGGTTTACCTTGATTTAAATTCTCTAGTAAACAATTGTGGCCAATATTAGCTTGCTTTGATTATTTTAATATTTTTATAGTTGGCATTTATTGAAGCGAAATCAAGTCTAATTCACTAACTAAATACCAATTTTTTTCTTTGAGTCAAGTCAATAATACCAAATGGTCTTCTATACAATAAAAAATATAAATAAAGACTATATAAAATCTTATAATGATTACAACTTTTGTGAAATATGTTCCGTTTATGAATCTTATAAAAAAATAATTGTGTTTAATAAGGAAATTTTTTACACACCTATCTCTTATATAAGTCAACTGTTACGACTGGTTTAGTTTTTTAAATTAAATTCATTTAAACCTTTCCAAAAAAAAAATCACACAAAAAAATAAAAGCATTAGTTGTACCAGACATTTGAAAATCTGCTTTAAATAATCTTTTGAAGATAGATGTAATTAATTTGGCTATTTTATTTTTTGTTCTTTAAAAATTCCAAATAAATAATTATAATTAAAATCAGTATTTATATTTATTATTTGATAAAATTTATTTTTTAGTAACTTGTCCAACTTCAAATTAGAATGAGAAAAATGTATTTAAAGATAGAAAAGAGTTGATATTTTTTTCTATATGAATGAATTTTTGATTATTTACTTCATATACTTAATGGACCATTAGTGGCAGCAGCCAAAAGTGGATAGCACAAGTAACCACTATATCACTTGTTGGAATGTTATCGGCTGGCCACTTTAGTAATTTACTAAGTAAACGATGAGTTAAACTACATTTAACTGCTCAGAATGCCTTTATAGGTCCACTGCAAATCCACTACAATAATATTTGGCGATAAAGTTTCAATATGTAATCATTTAATTATTGTCGTATATATTCAAGGTTCCTAATCCTCCTTAAAAACCTTAAATATCCTTGGGAAAAAAAACCCTTAAAAGTCCTTAAATTATCTTTAAAAAAGTTAGAATTTGACTGCTCTCCTTAATTTACTTTTCTTTAAATTTTTGTTTTATTAATTATAAATTTATTTATAAATATATATAATATATATGTATTGGTCATAAAAACTTCTATTATGTATGTAACTCTTGATTTTTTGAGTTTATTTTTATACAATTTTTCAACGGAGTTGTCTAGTATATAGTATATATAAGTATATATATATATATATATATATATATATATATATATATATATATATATATATATATATATATATATGTATATATATATATATATACATATATATATATATATATATATATATATATATATATATATATATATATATATATATATATATATATATATATATATATATATATATATATATATATATATATATATAGTATATATAAGAATGGTATAGTATAAATAGTTTATTTTATGTAATATGCTTAATGAATTTTTATAAGTAACAACTTTTTTAATTCATTTAGATCCTTCGAATTGGATAGTTTGTTATTCAAAATTATGCTTCGATAAAGTCATTGATAAATCTTTAAGTTTTACAAAGATTAATGTAAGTAATATTTTTTCTTGTAATAATTATCTTGAAAGTTATTTTAATTATATAGATTTTTTTTCTTAATAAACTTATTTGTTTAATACTCCAAAATACTCAAAATAGCTACCAAGTTCAGTTAGTTCTACCTAGTCAGTTCAGCAAGAAAAAAAGATCATTTAAAATTTCTTTTTCGAAGGCCAAGGTTATTAAAATTTTAAATTATATATATATATATATATATATATATATATATATATATATATATATATATATATATATATATATATATATATATATATATAAAAATATATATATATACTGCCGCCCTAAGTAAAAACGCAGTAAACAACAAAAATGACATTCTGAGAAAAAGCCGCTTTTAAA